TTAGAAGAGGAAGAATTCTAATCCCTCTATCTTTGTATTTTCGTGAACTCTGGTACTTATATAAGTTAACCATCTTGCCTCTATTTTGCATTGCATTTTCAAATACCTTGTTCTTTACTGCTTTCTAATTCTGTTTATGCTCTGATACTCTAGTGTGTGTCTTACTGCTATGATTGATTGTATCGTACTCTTACTATTTTCCTATGCTAAGTTGCCCACCAAGATTTTAAATGAAAATTTTTAACTTATTTTCTTTTATGGTGAAAGGCACTTCTCTGGAAATAGCTTAAGGGTTTTGGCATCATCAAAAAGGGGGAAATTGTAAGGAATAATTGTACTTAGATTTTGATGATGCTAGGATAGATTAGAATTTTAAAGTACCCCTTATAGAAATTTTGTATTAGAATTTTTCTTTGTAAGTTTTAGCAATAGTCGATGCGTCAGAGATCCTCTTGGTACTTCTGATCAGAGCTGCTAGGAGAACTACTCCATGAGAGTTGCTCTTCAGAGAAGCATCAGAGCTGCTATGAGAATTGCTTTCAGAGTTGCTCGTAGCTAGCTATGAGAGATGCTAGCTAAACTACAAGTCTGATAAACCATGAGACTTGCTCATCAGAGAACAATCAGAGTTCGACGTAAAGCTTCATCAGAACTCAACTTCAGAGAAGCATCAGAGTTCCTTATCTAAGTTCATCAGAATCCAAGGTCAGAATGCCATCAGAAGATCTCACCAGACCTGGATGGACACTTAGAAGATTTTGAAGCTGCTTTCAACGACCGTATAACTAACGGGAAATTACCTAACGGCTAGGAGATATTTCATCAAAGGAAAGCATTTAATGCTCATTTAATGAGCCTGATACGTTGTGGAGTAATTGCAGATGATTGACCGAGATTCCTGAAGAATATTATACAAAAATAGAAACCTGCCAAATATGCGGGTCCAACCGGTCAACTCCACAGTACGCGCATTCAATGCAGTTGTCTCCTCCTCCAACGGGTAGACAACCTCAGTATAAAAAGATACTCGATGAAGAAAAACAGAACAACTTTGCCACAATCTTGCTAACACTTTCTTGAGATTCAAATTCTAACTCCATCAACAAGAAAAGCTAACGTTGGGAAGATCTTCAGTTTATATACTCTTCATCACCAACAAGAGCAAAGTTCCTCCAGTTTTTCAACACTTCAAGAACTTCATCAACAAATCTTTTGTGACGAAGTAAGTTGGAGGAAAACTCTGTTTTTCTAAACATCTTCTGCAAAGAAGGACGTCCAATTAACTGGAGTAGTGAAGTGGTGATACTTCCGGGAAGCTCAGTGAAAGGACCAGCCATCAGGAAGCGGAATTGCATCCCGGGTGGCAACTAGGCTTGAAGAAGACGTGGAGTGCTTCTTAAGTTCTAGGGACTAAGGCATTGTAACTGTTGAATTTACAAGCTTAGTGGAACAGTGGACTAGAGGAACGCGTTGTTCCTTGAACCACTATAAAAATCCCCGGTGTCATTTACTTTACTGCATTTAATTTCTGCACTTGCACTTAGGATTCTAATTGTATAACCCTTAAAAACTTGGAATCTGTGTTTAGCAGATCTTGTTTTAAGAGTTATCAGAAAGGCATTTGCCTTAGTATCTTCTTGAGGCTACCCAGACAGACTTTAATCCGCTGCCTGGTCCAGTTTTGCCATTAGAACTCGACCATCTCTGTCATCAGATTTGGACCACCTCTTATAAGTCAGTTTTTGACTTAGAGAAAAATCTGAAAAATCAGAGCAGTCTATTCACCCCCCCTCTAGACTGCTTCATACTCAAACGGGACCAACAGTTGTATTACCTTGTCCTTGGAGAGTCGTTAAGTACGGGTTTGTATCAAATAACTAGTGACAATGAGGTTGCTGAAATAGGAAGGTTAGGCATGGAAGCAAGCATGGTTGACTTGTATATTGTCCATAAGGATGTGCCAACTCAATACACTAGTGAAGTCCTTTTTTCTAAAGGGGGGATGATAACTCTGGAGAGATACAAACATATATGCATGATGAAGAGCATGAGGACATTCTGCAGCATTTCATTGAATCAGTTGATGGTGAAGAAGGTCATTCCAGTGATGAAGAATGGATAGAAGCAAGGCAAAGAATACAAAATTAGAATTTAAAAAAATGTGAGGAAGTAAAGCAGGTTAATGATTCGTTAGAAAGGGGTGCAGATCTACTAGACGCTGAAAACATGAATGAACTTGGTGGATATGTTTCACAATATGAGGATAGTGATGGTGAAGTTGACTCCTCAGGAGAGAGTGAACAAGATGATATTTTAGGGAAGAAGAAGAAGTGTCAGGCACAACTTGTGAACGACTCAACTGATTTTAATAATCTGCAGTGGTGTGTTGGCATAAGGTTTGGTACAAGAGATAAATTTAGAGAGGCTGTAACTCAATATGCTGTGGCTCAAGGTAGAAATTTGACATATTTTATTAGTGACAAAAAAAGAAGTCAAAAGCTTGGTGTTAAATGTGTAGATGGTTGCAAGTTTTTCTTTATGGCTCTTGGGAACATAAGAGAAATTGTTTTGTTTTAAAATCTGTAAACAACAAGCACACTTGTTGTAGGGACATGATTTTGTATGGACCTATTTTGGTGCCTAATGCTTCTGTCCTACATAATTTACCTATTTTGGTGCCGAATGCTTCTGTCCTACATAATTTTTTGTTGGCTAATGGAGCCTATCATTTTGTATGGACCTATTTTGGTGCTGATAAGTCCGTATTTTGACATGTATTTGATGCGTGTTGGGATCGGTTTTGATGGTTTTCCCTAGCTTTAAGGTGTTGCAAGTCTCAATTTTAGCTCAAGTTATGTTTATCGGGCATTGGTTCGAGTTTTGTGTTGTTTGTAGTCAAAATCAGGGAATTTGAGCCCGGTACCGGCACTTGAGGAACAATCGGGATGATTTGAGAAGCATTTGAGAATGATTTGATAGCTTTGGAGGTCACCAGAAGATTCACGATGAAGATTTGAAGGAAAAAAGAGCTCTAGGATTGGCTTCGGGATCAAAAGAAGATGAATGAAGCTTGAAAACGACGATCAGAATGACCTTCTGTCAATCGTTCAAGCTTATCTCTTTGTAGGAACAACCAATGGACACGATTAAAGTTGTATAAGAAAGCCAACTTCAAGGGCTACTAATCATATGAAGACACATTTGCGAGAATCTGAGAGGAAGAAGGTGAAAACAGACGATGAAGTCAGATGATCTCTGTTGCGATTTCAGAAAGACACCTTCCACCGTTTTGATCATATCTCTTGATTGGATGATTCAAATCACATTCGGCAAATTGGGGTGGATAGAGGACTTCATTATCTACAACTTTCATGAAGGAAGTTGTTTCAAATTCGGAAGTTTTACGCACGCCGTGCGTAGGGGAACGCACGACCGTGCGTCTGAGGCGAGAAAGCAAGGGAGACACTGCCAGCAACGCACGGACGTGCGTGGGGGGTACGCACGCCGTGCGTAGACCCGGGTTACGCGAAATTGAATCCCAAATCAACCCAAATTCATATTTTTCATCCTTTTTCTATAAATAAGGCCCCCCTAATCATATTTTGACGTTACGAACATTACGGAGAGGCCTAGGGACGAATTTAACACCGTTTTTACGCTATTTTCTTCCAAGACCCTGGGATTATTTGTAAGTTCATCTTTTTAATTAATGACAATTATTTCTATTCATCTCAATTCTGTTGATTCTTCAATTATGAATTGTGAGTAGTTTAATTAGGGATTTGGGGTTGATGAAGGGGTTAATCATGATTGATGGCTAGATTCTTGTCGGTTTAATTGCATGAATGCCGTTTAATTTGTGTTTGAATAATTTAATTGATATCTCTTGTAACCTAGACTGCAGCTAGAATTACAATTGCATGTAGAATGAATTAAGAGAGATCTAATTTGCTCTAGGACACATCCACACACACTTAATCGTTCGCTAAGAGATTAGTAGCGATTAAATGGCCGTAAGCTCGCTCGTCTTGGCAATAATTTAGGATCCTGTCGCATGAGAGATCAGCCTGGTCCACTAAATTATTGTACTCTACGCCGCGAGAGCGGTAAGAACTTAGTAATGATTAGCTAGGCTCAATTAAATTAAATTCATGTAATTAGGCCTGATCTGCCAGAAATCTGGTTACCCCGGAATCAATCCCTGTTCCCTTCGTCATTAATTGAGAAGAAACCACTTTTATTTTAATCGTTCATTTGCATTAGTTTAATTTTTATTCAACCAACCAATCTCGCACGACGCATTTTTATTTATTTATTTTTAATCGCTGAATTTAGTTAATTCTTAATTCCCTTTTGTCCGTCCCTGTGGAGACGATACTCGTACTTACACCACTATTCTACAATCTTTTTAAGTGCGAGAAAACTCACATCAGTTTTTGGCGCCGTTGCCGGGGACGGTGTCGGTTTTAAGGGTTAATTAATTTCAGCGAGATTTTTTAGTTAGTTTTCTTTTAGTTTTTTCGTAGGATTTTTTCTGTGCTAACCTTTCAGGTAATTTCTAAGAGGCATGAGATGAACCTATTCAGCCAAATTCCTGGAGGAATTCCTTACTCTCAAACCTCCATGGAATATTCACCATATACGCCATACCCTCCTTACACTCCTCCTCCTCCTCCTCCTCCTCCTCCTCATCCTCCTCCTCAATATTACACATCTCATCAAAATTATTCTCCTACACCACAAAATTTCTCATCTTCCTATTCTTACCCTCTTCCAAATACGCAATACCCTCAATCTCGTTCTCCTAATCAATATCCTTATCCACAATATCCTCGGACAAAATCAGGCTCCATTATGGAATTTCTCATTCAAACTAAAAGTCCCGAGGAATTGGTTGATTGTTTTCCTAAAAATAGCATTTGTAACTTCTGTGGAGGTGGTCACCATTCATGTCTTTGCCCCATTCCTCCATACGACCATCCTTACTGGGCAACTGCATACCCCACTTCTTCCTCCCCACAATTTACGGACACAAATGTTTCAGTCACTCCTACATACTTCCCGAGTAATGAGCCTCATAATCAACAAGAGGATCTGGAGGAGGCAGATTTAAAGAGATTTTCTAGCTTGGAAGAAGTACTCAACAAATTAGCACAAAATCAGCTGAGAGCAGACTCAAGGATGCAAATGATGGAGACAAGGATGCAGAACATGGAGAATCAATTGGGGCAGATTGCAAAGGCTTTATCTGAGGAGTCCGAGAGATCCCGTCCTAGCGACACAGAAGCCCAACCTGAGGAGACCAATAGGGATGATCATATGAGTGAGTCGGACTGTGAAGGTGGAAATATGATGGATGATACCCTCCTAGATGCTTTTGAAGACCCTGATGAGAACGGTGTTAACGAGAGTTGGGATGCCTTCATGGGGAGTGATACAGAGTCTGGAGGAGAGGTTGTGAATTTTCATGATATTTCTGAGGAAGAAGAAGATTTTTCTATGGTGCAGTTTGATTACGGTGTTGCTCCTACTCCTTGCTTGGAGACATGTTTTGAGCTTCCGGTGATGCCTAGAGTAATCAAAGTTTTCACTCATGTTCCCTATCCACCTGAAGAGGATGAGAGTTTCATACTTCACTTCTGCACTAATGAGGGTTATGAAGACCATATGTTGCCTACGTGGACTAAAGAGTTTAAAGATCCGCGACACCTAATGGCATTTGTTGAGAGGAAACTGGAGACGTTGACTATGAGTGCACCACTACAGTATTTGCAATTTGAGAGCTTATGAGGTATCGTCGGGCACACGACGTTAAAAATAGCGCTTCTCGGGAGGCAACCCGAGCTTTTTTCTGCTTTTGATTTTGCTTTTGCTTTGTTTGTTGTTTCGTTGTTTTGCTTTGTGTTTTTGTTGCAGCTCAGGGTCTTGTTGTATGGATGATGTGCCGAGGATTACATTGACTCAGTTTAGTTCTGCACCGACCAGCGCCTTAAGGAAGTTTCTACGACTCTTTTAATCGCCTTTTTGTAATAATTGACTTGAGCTAATTTGAGCACGCGTGACCCTTTCCCCTTCACCCCCCTTGTGCATAGTGCATTTTTGGTCATCGAGGGCGATGCCAAAGTTTAAGTGTGGGGGAGTGAATTGGGCATTCGGGCAGTAGTTGTCACATGTAATTCGTTTAGCATGTGCAGGTGTTAGTTGTATATTCATAGGAAATTCATGCCAAATTTTTGAAAATTTTTCTTTAAACTATGTCTTTGTAAGCTGGCTAACGTTTTGACTATGCTTTTAGAACATCTTTGAAGTGTTTAGGCTTAAATTGCTTGCACTATAATCTAGTTGTTGAGAGGATGAAGGCATTAGTCACCCATTGAATGTTCCATTAATTATCCACCCCCACCTGAAAGAATCCTTTAGGAGAAGCCATTTTGAGCCTGACCGTTCTTTGTTACCCAATTAATTAAGCTCCATAGCCAAATGACCTGTTTCCTTGCCCGTGAATATTTCTGACTTAGTCTTGATGTTTAGGGAACCAAGGGATTAATTTGCTAAGTTTAGGGAATTTGTGTAGGAGCCAATTTTGGCACTGTTCCTATGCCCCAAATGGGGTAAGAGCAGTCACTTTTTAGGAATATGATACTTTCGAGGACTGCATTGTAGGCATGGATTCACTTTTAAATAAATGAACCTTAATTGCTATTTTTTCCTTGGTGAGGCCGAGATTAGAATGGGGTAATGTCTAGTAAGAATCCGAAAGGTGAAAAATTAATATAGCTAGACCTCTTACTTTTCGAAAAAGAGAATGGGAGCCCCGGTCAAAAAGCGTAAGATGAGACTTGTGTATCTTTCGAAAGAAACGGCGTTCTCGTGCCAACATGACAAGGAAAACTAAACATAATTAATGAACTTGGAGGCTATTGAAAAATTAGCTTTAGTCCTCCGCGTACTTCAAGTGTACGTCAAAGCACAAATGTGTCGAGACGGTTTAGCTTAGTTGTACACCATGTCTACTCTTTGCATAGATTTAGATGATTGTTCCTAAATTGTGGCCTACTGTGTTCCTTGTTCCTAAGAATAGCCCTGAAGTTCCTGAATACATTGAGTCTTTGTTAGAATATTCCAATCTCTCAAAAGAAAGGGACTATTTTTGTTATCCATGAACCATTCACCACCACCTTCACAAGTCCTTCTGATCGATAGCTAGTTTATTTGTGTGTGCTGTCACTACTTTGAGGATGTTGTGAATAACTTTGTCAAATAGTTTAGCTTGAGTACAAAGATGTAGTTTAGGGAAGAATTTTCTTGGTTTAGTCTGTCTGTTCTGTGAATATTCCTTTAACTACGTGTGCATGCTAATTGTTTTGATTCCGTGTGGTGATTATCGTAAGTCCCGTTGTTCAATTTGCTTGAGGACAAGCAAAGGCTTAAGTGTGGGGGAATTTGATAAGTCTGTATTTTGACATGTATTTGATGCGTGTTGGGATCGGTTTTGATGGTTTTCCCTAGCTTTAAGGTGTTGCAAGTCTCAATTTTAGCTCAAGTTATGTTTATCGGGCATTGGTTCGAGTTTTGTGTTGTTTGTAGTCAAAATCAGGGAATTTGAGCCCGGTACCGGCACTTGAGGAACAATCGGGATGATTTGAGAAGCATTTGAGAATGATTTGATAGCTTTGGAGGTCACCGGAAGATTCACGATGAAGATTTGAAGGAAAAAAGAGCTCTAGGATTGGCTTCGGGATCAAAAGAAGATGAATGAAGCTTGAAAACGACGATCAGAATGACCTTCTGTCAATCGTTCAAGCTTATCTCTTTGTAGGAACAACCAATGGACACGATTAAAGTTGCATAAGAAAGCCAACTTCAAGGGCTACAAATCATATGAAGACACCTTTGCGAGAATCTGAGAGGAAGAAGGTGAAAACAGACGATGAAGTCAGATGATCTCTGTTGCGATTTCAGAAAGACACCTTCCACCGTTTTGATCATATCTCTTGATTGGATGATTCAAATCACATTCGGCAAATTGGGGTGGATAGAGGACTTCATTATCTACAACTTTCATGAAGGAAGTTTTGTCAAATTCGGAAGTTTTACGCACGCCGTGCGTAGGGGAACGCACGACCGTGCGTCTGAGGCGAGAAAGCAAGGGAGACACTGCCAGCAACGCACGGCCGTGCGTGGGGGGTACGCACGCCGTGCGTAGACCCGGGTTACGCGAAATTGAATCCCAAATCGACCCAAATTCATATTTTTCATCCTTTTTCTATAAAATAAGGCCCCCCTAATCATATTTTGACGTTACGAACATTACGGAGAGGCCTAGGGACGAATTTAACACCGTTTTTACGCTATTTTCTTCCAAGACCCTGGGATTATTTGTAAGTTCATCTTTTTAATTAATGACAATTATTTCTATTCATCTCAATTCTGTTGATTCTTCAATTATGAATTGTGAGTAGTTTAATTAGGGATTTGGGGTTGATGAAGGGGTTAATCATGATTGATGGCTAGATTCTTGTCGGTTTAATTGCATGAATGCCGTTTAATTTGTGTTTGAATAATTTAATTGATATCTCTTGTAACCTAGACTGCAGCTAGAATTACAATTGCATGTAGAATGAATTAAGAGAGATCTAATTTGTTCTAGGACACATTCACACACACTTAATCGTTCGCTAAGAGATTAGTAGCGATTAAGGGGCCGTAAGCTCGCTCGTCTTGGCAATAATTTAGGATCCTGTCGCATGAGAGATCAGCCTGGTCCCCTAAATTATTGTACTCTACGCCCCGAGAGCGGTAAGAACTTAGTAATGATTAGCTAGGCTCAATTAAATTAAATTCATGTAATTAGGCCTGATCTGCCAGAAATCTGGTTACCCCGGAATCAATCCCTGTTCCCTTCGTCATTAATTGAGAAGAAATCACTTTTATTTTAATCGTTCATTTGCATTAGTTTAATTTTTATTCAACCAACCAATCTCGCACGACGCATTTTTATTTATTTATTTTTAATCGCTGAATTTAGTTAATTCTTAATTCCCTTTTGTCCGTCCCTGTGGAGACGATACTCGTACTTACACCACTATTCTACAATCTTTTTAAGTGCGAGAAAACTCACATCAGGTGCCTAATGCTTTTGTCCTACATAATTTTTTGTTGGCTAATGGAGCTTATCACTTTGTATGGACCTATTTTTGGTGGCTAATGCTTCTGTCCTAGATAGATTTTTGTTGGCTAATGCAACCTATCACTTTGTATGGACCTGTTTTGATGGAGTGTGTAATTTTGAAACATTTTACTGGCTGTAGCATGTCTAAGATGCTAGATATGGTTTTGTGGCAGAATGTTGTTCTATTTCTATTCTACCTGCATATTTGGAATAAGTGTTAGATGGAAAATCAGTTAGGATTTATAATACAGCTTTATAGAGCTATATTTTTCAACAGGCTACTGCTATAGCTTCAAAATTTCCACAGGGTGTATTCTAAGAAGCTGTTCTCTTCGCCTGATCTGAATGTTTCTGATCTGAATTTTTTAAGTTCTGATCTGATCTGATCTGAATTTTTCTGATCTGATCTGATCTGATCTGAATCTTTCTGATCTGATCTGATCTGATCTGAATCTTTCTGATCTGATCTGATCTGATCTGAATCTTCCTGATCTGATCTGAATGTTTCTGATCTGGTCTGATCTGATCTGAATGTTTCTGATCTGATCTGAATCCTTCTGATCTGATCTGAATCTTTCTGATCTGATCTGATTTGAATATTTCTATGATTATAATTATAATTATAATTATTATAATTGCAATTACAAATATAACTTAAATAAAATTATAATTATAATCGTAACTATACAAATAATAATAATAATTAAATTTAAAATGAAAAAATTTATACATATTACACTAATTATAAATATAGATATAATTATAATTGTAATTATATTTTTAATTATAATTACTTATATAATTATAATTGTAATTATAATTACAATATTTATCTCTATAATTGTAACTATAGTTATCAATATTATTATAATTACTCCGTGAAATAATTACAATAGTAACAATAATAATAATAATAATAATATTTATAATTATAATAAAAATAATAATTATAATCATAAATTATAACTATAATATAATTATAAGTATATTTATAATTAATAATAATTATAATTATATTAACATTAATTATAATATTATAATATAATAATAGTAATATAAATACAATTAATATTATTATAACAATATTATTATATTAATATTATTATTACAATAACATAATAATAATAATAATAATATTATAATTAGAATTATATTATTATAATATTATATTATAATTAAAATTATAATCATAATTATGATTATGATTGTAATTATAATTATTATAATTATAATTAATTACAATTATAATTATATTTAATTATAGATATAATTATAATAATTACAATTGATATACTTATAATTATAAGAATTATAATTGTAAGTATAATTATAATTACATATAATTATAATATAATATTATAATAATATTAATCATATTATTATTATAATATTGTAATAATAATAATAGTCTTCTTAATAATTGCATTTATATTACTATTATTATATTAAAATATTATAACTATATTAATATCTTATTTTTTATCATATTATTATTAATATTATTAATAATAATTATAGAATAATAATCATAATAGTAATAACAATAATAATTAATATAATAATAAAAGTGATAAATCATGTTTGAACTTTTCTGATCTGATCTGATCTGAATGTTTCTGATCTGATCTGAATGTTTCTGATCTGGTCTGATCTGGTCTGAATCTTTCTGATCTGATCTGAATCTTTCTGATCTGATCTGATCTGATCTGAATCTTTCTGATCTGATCTGATCTGATCTGAATTTTTCTGATCTGATCTGATCTGATCTGAATTTTTCTGATCTGATCTGATCTGATCTGAATAAAATAAGAATAAGTAATAAGTAATAAGAATAAGACGAACAGAACAGCACCTAAGTTATGAAATTGTTGTTATCATTCCAAAACTGTTATAAGGGAATCTCTAGTCCATTATATGTGAAATTGAAGCTCAAACATTCTGGGTCCAAAAAGGCTTGCTTCCATTGATTTGAAATTGTAAAAATATTCTAGGAAATCTAAAACATATTTAATTAGAATCAATTGAAGCTCTTGAACTAATATACTCTCTAATCGTACTAAATTAGGAACTAATATACCATTACAAAACAAAACTAGGAAATTGAACTTCAAATTCCATTCCCATACCATCAAAGTAATTCCAATATTACAATCATACGTGGCTTTAACTCCATACATTCAAATATCATTCCAAAAGAGAAACATTAATTTGAACTTACAAATTCATTCCAATGTCATTCTATCATTGTTATATCCTACCAATCCAAATAGATAAAACTACTCCTATTAAGAAACCATGTTAAAAGAAAATAATAAATAGCATTCTTTTCTGCACTTGATGCTCGTTTAGCTTCAGCTTCATATTGATGTTTCTTCATCCTGAACTTTTCAATTTCGCCCAACAATAATTTCTTCTCAGCCTGCATTTTATCAAGCTCATTCTTAAGAATTTCATTCTCCTTCAGAACTAATTCTTTCTTTGCATCTCTTGGTGCCATCATCTCTTTTTTATTTGAATCATCCTCCCATACAATTATTATTCTGCAAATAGAAAACAAAAATATCAATCAGCACTTCCAGTATAGTGAGGTTTAGGTTAGTTCTGGACAAAGTAATGCTAGGAACTTTACTTTCGTATAGTTTCAAAATCCCTTTTATTTCAAAATTGAATTCGTAATTGCTGCTATCTCCTGCAATAGGAATAAGCGCCACTATTCAAGCACATGAACTCCTATATCAATAGTTCTTCTTTCAACTGTAATACTACGTACTCATTTAGCACAAATAAAAGTTTTTTATAATTTTAATTTATTTTACCTTCCACAGGGGCAGCCATAAAACCACTTCCCCTAATTCGGCCCTGAGGAAACCTTCTGCAACTGAGAAGAAACGCCATGGTTGCACTTCACTTTTCGTATGAATGCTTGTGTTTCACAGGCCGGGGCTGAATCTTGAGCACATCTCGTAGCTATTGCAACCAGCCATCTATTGTTTAGGATTTTCTTATCTCAAAGATGGAGATTCAAGTAAAAGATGGAGAAGAATTGAATTTACATCTGCTAAGTCATGAGATTCACGTATGCAGTTAGGTGAGCAAACGGCGGTCAAACGGAAAATGATTCCGTTTCATTTATTCTATTTAGGGTACTTGTAAGGGAGGTTTGGATTAATAGTGTAAAATTTTGTAGGGATTATTTTTATCAATTTTGCCTTATTCATATATCTAACTTTGGATTTGGACCTTATACATGTAGATTCTCAATTTCATTGTAGTATAATTTATATATATTAATAACCACTAGTTTAGTTCCGATTCGATGAAATCTAACTCCTTAATTATATGGGTTTACTTGTTTAACTTATAATGTTGTGAACATGTATTTGCATTATATTCAAAATTAACTTCATTAATCATTATAACACATTTCCGTACATGTGTTACTTTATAGATAGTATACCAGACCTGGTTTCAAATAATATTAACAAAAATAATACATTGCCGTATAATATTTTCAATATTTGAACCATTAATTTGTAAATAAACTAAAAGATTTATTTACAATAGTAGGTACATAAATTGTGCTACTAATATTTAATTTACGGAAAGTCTAAGTAAAAGTGCCACCTCTTGTTTTCTTAAATAGTGTCACATCAATTTTAATTAAATCAACACAATCATATTTTAGTTTTGTCAATTTGATACCATCACTCCCAACCATAATATTTTGGTCCCTTGAGAAATAATATATCAACATGTAAAGATATAAAGTTTAGTTAAATAGTAAAATTCAGAAACAAATATAACAATGAAATTTAGGACAATATAAGTCAACATAAATATAGGTAGAAGAAGGAATGAACACAAACCTATTAAAATTTTGGTCAGATTTGCTCTTCTCGGATTCCACTCTCACACTCCTCTCCTTTTGATTTCATTTGCTCTAGTTTACTCCAGAGGTAAACGTCATGAAGGGACTCTAGAGGTTTCTACCGATAGCACGTACTATTAGCACGTACTATTGCTTGGAATTGCTAATTCCTTTATTGCACTTAATATATTTATTATATAGAACATATCATTTTTGTTCTTATTCGTATAATGATCAGTGTTTTGCCTAGTGTCCTTAAGTTTTTGTTTGGTTAGACCATCTTATGCTTAGTGTCCTTTAGGATATATATATGTATCTACATGTGTCCTTCAATTCATTGTTTAATTATAAATACATATATTTATTTATAACCTAACTAATATATAATATGTGTGTACACGTGTTTATATGTTCATAGTAAAATTTTTACGTACACTTTTTAGCTTAGTGGATAGTGTTACTTTAGTTGTGCATTTTAGATTTAATTTATAATTTTTATTTTCGTATTTAAGTCATCTAAGATATTAAATAATAAGAACTAATTTGTGGCACACAACCTTAATACTTTCTTTCAAAAAATTGAAAAAAAATAAGTTTGAGGATGTTACACGTACAGCTGGCTAGCTTGTCTTCCATTTCCATTTTATCACTTAACACTATTATCATTTTCTATGCCACATGTCTTATGAACCACCAGCTTTTGCCAAGTATCACATAACTTCTTTGGTTATATATAGATGTGGAGGACTGCTCAGGTCCCTCCGGAAGGACGGGAGGGACCGTCCGAACTTTACTGTTTGGGGCGGTTCCCGGTGGAATTTTTTGATGAAATTTTTTGAGCATGTTCCGCATCAAGTCTAGTTTGTCCATATCAAATTTCAGCTCAAAATTCGACCGGGAAGGCAGTCAAATAAATTCTTGAAACTTACTGCACTTTATATATGCGCAGAATGTGCAGTAAGCTTCAAGAATTTATTTGACTGCCTTCCCGGTCGAATTTTGAGCTGAAATTTGGTATGGACAAACTAGACTTGATGAGGAACATGCTCAAAAAATTTCATCAAAAAATTCCACCGGGAACCGCCCCAAACAGTAAAGTTCGGACCGTCCCTCCCGTCCCTCCGGAGGGACCTGATCTTTTCTGTATAGATGTGTACTTTTATTTTATATAACTATATAAGTATGTATTCTATGATTTTGTCCGTCTCTGACTTGAGGACATGTGTATTATCTAATTAAGTTTGTTTTAGGTTGAAGTCAATCCTTTTTTATTATCTTGCCTAAATGCCTAAAACACCTTTCTAGTATAGCTTCCTAATTGTTTGTACGTATATGTACAAATTAATGGGTGGGCAAGGTGTTTGTCTTATTGTTTGCATGAGTGAAAAGTGTATATGGGGTGGGGAACCTTAATGAAAATGTGTACTCAATTTAGGACAAGTGTGCTTGCAAGTTTTTACAAGTGGAGGAAGCCAGCTGCAAACCTAATCTATGGTTTGTTGAATTGAGGCTTTAGTGGGTTTGGGTGGAGATGGGTCCACATGCTCTAGATTTTGCTATTGGGTAGAGTATATACGTATATAGTAGCTTTACATTATTCACGTGTTCTACTTTGACTACATTTTATTTATTGACTTATTGATATATATTTTTGAAAAAAAATATTATTAAATTTGTCTCATTGTAAATTTTCAAAATCTGAAATTTTAATTTTTTTTACTAATAGAGAATTATATATATTAATGGTCAAAATTGCACCTCGACAAATGTGAAATATTGACCGTTGCACTTATTTAAAAACGGAGGAAGTACAAAGAAATGACAGGGCATAGCTGACGTGGCACTGATGTGGCGGAAAGTGATCTGGCAGTTGTCTAGCAGTATTCTCCATAGAAGCATCCATCGGTGAGGGAAGAAGAAATGTCGGCGTAGAATGAAGTGAGAGCGAATTAAGTGAAGGTGTTTTAGGTTTGTTTTAAGTATGTATATATACTTAAAGAAGAATCAGGAAAAGATGTTGGCGTCAAGCTAGAGTGGCGGGAGCGAGACTTTCCGTCATCTAGTGAGGGGTTTTCATCGACCGGGAAGCTGGCAGTGAGCGTCACCGCTGAAGTCCGGTCGGCTGAAGTCCGTCGATTCCTGAAGGTCGGCTTGCTATTGTTAACAAAGCAGCGGCGTGTTCAGTAAATAATCTACGAAGTCGATCTTTCGTGAGACAATTGGGATTGAGCTTTGTGGGATTTCGAAAAGAGTGACTGCAGGGTATGCATAGGATTGCGGGTTGTTAACGTCTGGGGGATGCGGAGCAATGCTTTTTTTGATCTCACAAAAAAGCTCACATCTGGTCCCTTGCGGAAAGCCTGGAATAGTTCGCCAATGGTAGGGAGTTTCTCGAACAAAGTGAGAGGGATAACCAATATATATGTCCAGCTTAGAAGAAGATTAGTCACTCCACACAGCCTGCCTCTATTAGTCTTTGGCATATCGAGGTCAATCTATACATTAGTGTCAATCTAGGATCCAAAGGAACATGAAATGTTTTAGAATTTTAGCATGTGAAACCATCTAAACAGAGATCAAAGTGGTGAAAGTGTGGCTTCACATAATAGAAAGTATCATATTACTCCATTCTTTAGTCTCTTTACCACGAGTTTCATTAAGGCATATACCCTCATGAGGGTAAGAAAGGCAAGCTACGGTATCACGCTTCCTCCGGTGGCTATGGTATCACGCTTCCTCCGGTGGCTAGCTAGATTGGGGGGAAATTCCAGGCAACTGTTCAAGGTCTTTGTTCTGTCAGCATGAAAGTTTCCAGTGGTATGTCTTTCACATTTAAAATTCCTTAATTCCCATTGTAAGGGTTTAGCATGCTTAAAATCTAAATATATGCAGCAAAAAGTCGTATTCCATTTTGCTTAAATATTATAATGGTGTTTGTGTTGGTTTTGTATAGGTTAGACCCATTCCGAGAACTATAACTTAAATTCTTTTCTATATTATTTTATTCCTGTGATATTAATTACTGGTTTTTTTAAATATTTGTATCATATTTGTTTTTGCTAGAAAGCTAGCTGCTAATCTTTATCCTATTGTAGGAGGAGCAAGTATAGTTGCAAAGGTTTGTTAAATTCTTATACATAGTATTTTTTGGGAAACTTATGACCAATGTTATTATTTACATACTTGCAAAGGTTGATCTTTTTTTACATTTGCAGATACGTTAATGGCTTACTTGATTTTTCTCAAGTATTGAGTATTTACCAGGGGAGGCTCAGAAACACTCACACACACACACACACATATTCAGGAATGATATTTACCTATAGGCTATCGTATGAAGTATGCAAGAGAAGTATATACAATTTGGATTTTCAACTCCTTTTCTATCACTTAAATCCAATATATACTCCTCATTGGTTGTGGTTAAAGCTCCAGTAATATTTGTGAGTGAAGCGAGCTACCGCTCAACTTCCTTAAGGTATCATGTGTCCTCTTATTTTTGTTTTTATTGACAATCCATCAATACTCTATTCTAAGACATCAAAATTAGCAAATGAGAGTAAGGATATTTCAAGTATAAAAAATGTTTGGTGTAATGTATGACTATATGAGATTGGACCATTGTCTTATGAAAATATATTGTTTCTCTGCCAGCCTATTTTCTCCAAGAAAGACAGTGCCAATGCGTTTACTCACGTTAGTAATTCACGCCATCCAAAGCATCCCTAAGGACCTGCTTGGGAAGTGGATACAATATGGGATTCACGTCCAATGTGCATACATTTGCTCATGTCATTGCTCGACCAGCTGAAATGGACAGCGTCATCTGCAACCCGCTGTTCACATCGCCAACTATGGCTCTACCCGAATCTCAGGAGGGCACTAAAGGCAACACACGATATGGATTCCAAGAGATCCCTTTCTTCAAAGCTTCTATGGAACTAATGGCCATCCCCGAAAAGAAGGTTTCTCGTTATAAGAGAGGCATACAAAATGGACCAAAGGAGCTAAAACCTCAACTAGTTATAATCTGTTGTGGCGGGATTAGGCAAGACCCGAAGCAGTAAAGAATATCATGTTCTAGAATGATAATGATGAAGCTATTATGATAATAACTATAATGATATTATTGTTATTATTATTACTATTATTATAATTATTATTGCTATTTTCTTATAAATTGTTTGGGCTTATGAATTCTATTATATGGATTATGAGTATTATAATTTTCATATTAATCATTATTGACAAAGAGATATAATCATAATAATAAAAATATCATCGTCATTATAATAATAATTATTGTTATATTATTATTACTATTATTATAGGGGTGGAATTGATTATAATAATAATTATTGTTATATTATTATTAATATTATTATAGGGGTGGAACTGAAATGACACAATTATTAAGAAGTATTTGTGTTTACTTTTACTTTTGAGATGTAATTAGTTTTAGAAATTATACGAAAAGTGAACAATAGTAAAAGTTAGTAGGGTTTAAAAAGAAAAATAATTTTAAAAATGAAAAAGTTAGAGAGTTTGATAAATCGAGTACTTTTTGTGCTAGGACTCTGGACTGAAAATGGCCTAACAAACATACGACAAAAGTAGAGTATTTTATAAATATAAGAGTAATGAATACATTAATTACCAAAAGCTAAATATAGACCAGATAATGAACACAATAAGTAGCATACTAATGCTAGTGGCCTCCATAGGATATCAGAATTCGAACATGCAAAGGAAGTGGAGCAAACATGAGAAAATCAGATTCAGACATGTAAGCTGAGTACCATCACACCTCCATCAGGTGGTTCTCCTTTTCTTGAACATGTTGAGTTGTTTCACTATGTGCTCGACTGCCTCCGTTAGTGTGGCCTTCCTCCCTTCTTTATAGTTCCAAAGCTCAGGCACAGTATACCTACCACTGCTGTTATATTCATTCAGCTCAGTTATAGAAGAAACGACCGCGGCATATACTTCATCACCATACTCCCTCTTTAGACTCTTCAACTTTTCATCTTCTTCATCAATCACCTCCTATAGATTAAACCAAAATTTAAGAACTAAAAGATTGTCCATTTGCCCCCAATGGAATGCTTGGGGGGTCACACGGGGAATAAGGTGAAATAATATTAGCAATAACTATTACAATCAAAATTTGAGGGAGTGAAATGGCGTAGAGAAAACAAGTAATGTATCAGTAGGCTGACACTGCTGACACTGACACTGAGGATTGAAAATTAGTTAATCGGTCCATACATTGTTCAGCCGAATAATTGATTAGTCGGACACCTAGAGCCTTATATTAAATTCTAGGTTCAAGTCTTGTGTTTGCATGTCAAGTAAGCAATGAGCATACAAAGAAAACAACCATGTCTCAATTACAAACATTTTTATGTGATCCACTAGTGAGTAACATACATGCACACTAGACACTGATATCCTAGATAGTGGAGCGCAGCGGCCTACCCAGAAAATGCTATAGCAGATAGCCAGGTGAGTTCTATTTGAATAATGAAGTTTTATCAGTTTAATGCAGCATACTTAATTATATGTAAGCATGTACTCCGTAATTACATATAACATATATATCAAAACCATAAAATGGAAAATTACTCATTATCTCAAACTTCAAGGCATTCATATTAAATCTTTCTAATAATTCCCCTGCCAAGGATGACAAGTAGGTTCTTGTCATCCTCAAAATTCTATTGTTTGGAATAAAAAACATGGCAGTCCTATTTTGGAATTTTCAAACTGTTTTAGTCCTATTTCGGGAACTCTCCCTAATTTTTTTAGCCATGACGATGGTTTCGGAAGAAGCAGAGGAGGAATGAACAAGAACAATAGTTTAGATGGTTTGATGGATTTTATGTTATTGGAAGGGTTTAAGTGGGGTTACTTTTTATTCTAAAAATCCTACTATTTCCCTTGAAAATTAAGAAAAACAAAATAAAAATATCCCAAGATCTGCTCATCCTAAATCTGGGAACTCAGAATTTCAATAGAGTGCCGCTGTGCCACTATAGAGCGCTATTAATATCACTTATAGACACACATATATATATATATTTAGACGCAAACATGTGCATCACTGATCACATGTATACAAATTTAAAAAATGTATTTTCTATGTTCCGACTAGGGTTCATCTAAGCGCCCACCTCAGGTTTAGGCACTAGGTTGATGTGCGGCTGGACCATATCTATTTTTAGAACATTGGTTCAAGTATTGGATTTTTTTAGCAATGAATTCTAATATCAGGTTAGCACTAAGATGATATGTGTAGATGTTGGTGCCCAATACAAAGACATCACACTTTTGACCAATAGAAAATGAATAAAAAAATCAACTCATAGTGTACACATTCTGCGTGTGTGTACACTGTACACACACATACCAATTAGGCCAACATTACTTTTTCAACATGCAATGTGAGCAGAATCCTCCTTCTAAATGTCTACAAGTCTTAAGAGCCTAATTGAATTGAGTTTCAAGGTTAGGTGACTTGGTTGAAGCTAATTATAGTTCAGGGGCTTGATTGTTGTTCTGGTTGTAGATTGAGGGCATAATGGACCATTTCTCCATCAGTTAATGATAACAACTCAAACAGGAAAAACTATAGAAAGCATTAGATTCCTACTTCTGTATTGCCCATCTTATCTGATTTAATCTTGAAGGGATGCCATGTTGCGCCTTTCAAGATGTAATCCCATTCAGAACACAGCTCTATTGCTTTGTCTGCCACTTCGCCTTCAGTCTTTAGCAATGGAAATTTCCTTCTAATTGCAGCAAGAAAAGGCTTTGTGTCAAGTTCTCCCATTCTTTTCACCCCAATATTAGCCCGGCTATTTGAACTTGTCAAGGTCTAAAGCACAAAAAAGTCAAACACATTAAGGGATACTAATTGAGACCTCCTAAATAAGCAGAGTGTTAAATTTTCAATAGTGTAAAGTTGCATACATTAATCAACTTCTTGCGACATTCCTGCAACTCCTCATTAGCTTTGCGCTGCATAGCAATAGCGGCTGAATACTGATCTTCCATGTGTTCAAACTCCTCCGTCTTTTCAGCCAATTTAGACTCTAGGTCCTCATGCGCATTGAGTTCCTCTTCTAATTCTTTAACACGACTACGCAACTTATCAACTTCATCCTGCAGATTCTGTCCACTAGTCTGGACAAAAAATGACCAAGTTAAATCATACTTTTAATGAAAACATTGTCACTGATAACCAAATTTCCTTCAGCCGTGCATAAATGATTCACTCAGTTCATGCCATGAACTTCATGGTATTTAATCTCCACATATGTGGGATGCCACCAACACTAATTCTCTGTAAATGCACAATGCAATTCCGTCTAATGGACAACCTCAAGTCCTCAACTAATTTCTGAACTATGGCTTAAAAAGGCATTGCCTTTGACGCTGAGAGTGTGGTATACACAATATTATTGTAACACGTACCCAATGTTGCAATCGTGGCTGAGGGTATAAAGGCATTATTTGGACCCACTCAGCCCACTTTAAAATTCTTAATTAATATTTACTACAATTATGATCCCTATTTCAAAGTTCAAACCACAGGGTATATATTACTGTGGTAAAATTATTCAGAATTTTTCTCTATCCTGTGGTTTGATCTTCGAACATATTACTTTGCTAGGATCATTCTAATTTGATTTAATATGACATTTGATGACTTTTTAATGAATACTCCGTATAAGTTGTTTTATTTTTTGAGTTGACAGACACACATATAATTTTCTTGACATTTGCTTGACATCTAATGCCTCAAGCACACACTTCATTGCGCAATGAGGCTTACGCAATATGCAATTTAAAAAAAATGCCATGACTACACAATAAGTAATTCCAAACCTTGTTTACACATGACAACTCCTTACAGGCGTCCTGCAAATCATCATTGGTTTTGCTAAACTTCATGAGAAGAAATTTACTTTGTTGTGTGATTTCTTCACACTCATCTTCTTTACCCTCTAGATCTGATTTAATTCCATCTATCTTTTTGTCTGCTTCAAACAGTAATGCATGGTTCTCCTTAACTTTGGATTCCAGTTGCTCAATACGATAGTGTAGATTAACCATTTCATCCTGAAAGTTCATTGTATCAAGTCCCAGCACACAATAGCAGTATATACTATACACATTAACAAAAAGAAACCAGAATGGATCAGACCCTTTGTCTTTCAGCCAAGCGGTGTACTTTGTCCTCTGTTTTCTTCTGCTCTGAGGTTTCTTTTTTTATCTAATGAAGGGGGAGGGGACACAGCAATAAATCATATAAGTAACACACTGAGTCAAAGTTTGCGAATGTGTTAGAGTCTGGTTGTATATTTAGGGCCTACTTGGTTCGACAAATCAGAGGAGGGGTGAAGGAGCGGGGTGGTATTTACAGTTAATTATCTCTAAAATTAGATTTTTGGAAGATGAGCCTTGGCGCACCGGTTCCAGTGTTACTGTGTGACCGAGATGTCACATGTTCAAGTCTTGGGAACGCCCTCTTGTCAAAATGACAAAGACTTGTTCCTGATACATCCTTGTGGTGGGACCCTTCCCCGAACCCTTGCCTTGCAGGGACAGAAATGTGCATCGGGCTGGGGACTACCCTTTCCTTTCTTATATAGAATTACATGATATCACTAATCATTAATTCTAGTCTACAATTTTTTGTAACATTAGGAACATTTTAATTTTCCGCCCCTAGGCCTAGGGCCGCCCCTGCCTGCTCTTTCCTTCTAAAATATCAGAACCAAATTCCTTTTAAGGTCAGATTATTCAACTCTTGTATTGAAATATTGAAATTCTAATAATGCAAGAAAAATTAATTACAATACGCAAGTCCTTGCGAACACTCAGCAACTCAGATAAGATCATCTCAAATTGATCACGAACTCTCCCGGGCAACCTCATTTCAATTTCTGAAACCAATTCCGCAGAAAGTAAATTACACAAGTCAATAACATACAATAAAGCAAAAAATCAATTACTGAGCTATCTGACGGTTGGAAAAAAACTATAGCATATATACCACCATTTACTGAGCTATCTGACGGCCCCTTCTCCTTCTCGTTGTCCATGGACTCAGCGGTCTATGAATGTAAGGAGCATTTGTTAGCTTTCACTTTTTACTATGGCTACACATAATTAAGGGGGGTTCGGAACGGATTCTGCTTCTGCTTCATTTTTAAAGAAAAAGCATAATTTAGAATAAGAATCAGTTTTGAGAAGCTAGTCTCCCCGGTTTCTAAAAACACTGATTCTAAGATTGAATTAGAGCACCAGAAGTACTTCTGCACTCTCACCCAAACAAACACTCCAACTTCTGCTTCTGTTCCACGAAGAAGCAGAATCAGTTATAAGAATCAGATCCAAACACCCCCTAAAGTTGAATGTGTGGCAGAAAATCAATTAGTTGTGCCTTAATTTACTGCATGCATGTCACACACAAAACACAAACTATAAATTAAACAAGAACTGTAGATAACTTCCAGAATCCTGTAGATGAAGTAAAAAGACAGTCAAAACACAAGTGTAGTCTGGGGATATGCTGAATTGTACACTCAGTAAGCAGTAACGTAATGGAGAAACGGTGCAGTTTGAAGATGAAGATTAGAAATTTTTGTACAACCAAAATTAAAGACACTCTATAAATCTATGATGCATGCATGTAACCGGTATGGTGCCGAAAATGTGATAATACCATTTCTTAGGTTTCAGACAGAAGCAAGGCTCCGACGAAGGACTGCCCGACTAGCCGACTGGAGATGATACGGTAAACCAGTAAAGACAAATGATAATGTATCTATACTCCGTATATGAATGTATTAATAATAATAAAAAAAGACTTTTCATTTTACACGGCTCAATACTATCAAAAAGAAAATTAAACGGCTCAATTAGTGCTAATTAGTACTACGGCTAATTAGTACTACGTCATTAGTGCTAATGATGTAGTACTACTATGTCATTAATATCAAATGATAGGGGTGAGCGCGGTCCGTAACGGTCCGGTAAATTAGCAAAATCTGTAATGTACCTGTGAGGTTTCTAAATGTTCGATACGGTTCCGGTTCTAAGGTTGGAACCATTCGGTACCATGTCGTTTCGGAACGGTACGAAACGGTTCGGTACAATGTCAAAAACATGCCGAAACATTTGGACAAATCGTGCAATTATTATATATCATCACACCGGCCAATTGATGTGTGTTTTCTCGCACTTAAAATGGTTGTAGAAAAGTGGTTGCAAGTATGAGTATCGTCTCCACAGGGACGGACAAAAGGGAATTAAAGATTAGCTAAATTCAGCGATTAAAAGAAATAAATAAAATAAAATGCAATTGTGCGAGATTGGTTGATTGAGTAAAATAAAACTAATGCTAATGAACGAGTAAAAAGATTGGTTTTTCCTTAATTAACGACGAAGGGAACATGAATTGATTCCGGGGTTAACCAGATTTCTGTCAGATCAGGCCTAATTACATGAATTTAATTTAATTGAGCCTAGCTAATCATTACTAAGTTCTTACCGCTCTCGCGGCGTAGAGTACAATAATTTAGGGGACCAGACTGATCTCTCATGCGACATGATCCTAAATTATTGCCAAAACGAGCGAGCTTACGGCCCCTTAATCACTACTAATCTCTTAGCGAACGAGTAAGTGTGTGTGAATGTGTCCTAGAACAAATTAGATCTCTCTTAATTCATTCTACATACAATTGTAATTCTAGCTGCAGTCTAGGTTACAAGAGATATCAGTTAAATTATTCAAACACAAATTAAACGACATTCATGCAATTGAACTGAAAGGAATCTAGCCATACATCATGATTAACCCCTTCATTAAACCCAAATCCCTAATTAAACTACTCACAATTCATAATTGACGAATCAACAGAATTGAGATGAATAGAAATAATTGTCATTAATTAAAAGAATTGAACTTACAAAGAATCCCTTAATCTTGAAGAACAAGACTTGAAAAGTTCTCAAAAGTCGAAATAGGGTTTATCTCTCTAAGCTCATCAGTCAAAAACTGGCAAAACAGGGGCCTATTTATAAAAAAACTCAAAATCTGGCTGAAAATCGGGCCGCGCGGTCGTCCGCACGCCGTGCGGGTCATCGCGTGGTCACGCACGCATTTTTTCGTCTTCCGATTTTCGCTTCGCCCGCGCGGTGTGCGGGCGCCGCACTATGCAACCGCGCGGGTACTTCTGGGGGCTATTTCTGGACCGCGCAGCCGAAACCGTGTGGTTCATTCCCCTCAACTTTTTGCTCTCAGAATCGCCCGCGGGGCGTGCGGAACCGCACCGCGGGGCGCGCGGATTGCTCTAGAACCGTTTTCTTGTTATTTTCTTACCCGTTTGCTCCCGGATACTTCTTCAATCAATCCAAATGCCGTTTCTTCATCAAATCTTCGCCGTGAACCTCCCAGTGGCCTCCAAAACTCTCAAATCTCTCTCGAATGTTCTCCAACTCTTCCCGGTTGCTTCTCAAGCGCCGGTGCCGGACTCTAAATTCCTGATTTTGACTCCAAACAACACAAAACCCGAACCAACGCCCGATAAACATAACTTGAGCTAAAATTGAAACTTGTAACACCTTAAAACTAGGAAAACCATCAAAAGCCGATCCCAACACGCATCAAATGCGTGTCTAAATACGGACTTATCACCAATTCACATGAAATGTTGATAAAAATACTAGAAAAGATTCAAGAGGTTGACATTTTTGTATTTAAATTCACAAATACTCAAATAGTGCAAGTGTGCAACACAATTAAGTAAAAATATAGCAAAATAATGATACACTAGTATAATATCATCTTTATTAAATTTATGTGAAAAATAAGATATCATTAAATTGTTGAATATAATAGAAAACTTTAATGTGCTTCTTCTTTGTTCTATGTTGAATATTAGTTATAATTTAATTGATAGTTGAACCGTAAGAGCTAAGATTCAGACCATATTAATTAAGTTGTAAAATTACACAAATATGATACAACAAGAAGTCATATACACTACGTTATTAGAAATTAATAGTCATTAATGATTTTAAAACTTTAGCATTCTATTTTCAAAAAAACTTTAGCATTTTTTCATTATATATATCAAATATAACATTAATTATCTAAAAGGAAAAAATAACAATATTTATATAACACACACACATAGCTATTTTAGAGATGCATGAATACATATTTGGGCTATAAAATTGTTGGTCTATAAAAGATATTCATTGGTATGGAAAATATAAAATCTTAAAGGCATTATTTTTGAACGGTTCGGTCCGGTATTTTTCGGTTCTCAAAATCTAGGACCGGTCCCGTACCCATTTGAAACGGTATGGTTTCGGTTCGGGTTAAAATTTTATAGAGTCACTAAAATTATACCCGATATTCGGTTCGGTACCATTACGGGCCGGTTTGGTTCTGTTTTTATGCCCACCCCTATCAAATGAGAAACTGAAAGGTCGATGTGTGATAATAATTAAAAAATTGATTAATAATAACATTTGTAATTAAAAATTACTTTTAATTTAAAAATTACTTTTAAAAATTACTACCGTCATTTTTAGCATATATATATACATATATGTACATCTACACAAGCACACACCTATATATTCATTTGTTTTTAATATTAATATTTTAAATATCACTAGTTTACTACTTTAAAAAAATACTACTCTAGATAAAAATGCAAAAAACTGGTAGTGATAAGATAGCAAAGATATTCATAGTATGTATTAAAATTAATAGTGGTGCTTGTTATGTAAAATAAAATTAAATACAATTTTTAAAACTTTTTCCGAAACTTATTCAAAATAAAAGAAATAGAGTTAAGTTTTTTTCAAAACTTATTAAAAATAAAAGAAATAAAGTTAAATATATATACATTTAAATTCATATCATTAATGGTCTTTTATATCCCTTACTATCTACATACACTGACATTGGAACGTGAAAAGGTGACACTGTTATTAAGAAAAAGGGCTTATGTGGTTAATATTGAATTGATAAAGTAAGAATGCTTTAGAACCACACATATTTTATCAAATTTGGTATGATGCAATCTTAGTAGAATGGATTAAAAAAGGAAAGGAAAGACAATCTTAGAGGGACAGAGGGAGTAGTAGTTGATCTCAAATAGCTGAGTTACTAAATATTTACTTCAAACTACTACTGAAAGCGGTTGGTCAAAACAACTAACCGAAATCGTTAATTCAATCAGCTATCACCTAGCACCCAAACCCTATTAAACACCTCCACGCCATTAACATTTTTAGCCCTCCATTTTTCATTACAAATTAAAATCAAAGTAGAAGGACTAAATGTAAATTTCACAATACTTAATCAACTAAATGCAGGAATTCCTAAAGCCGAGGACTTACGTGGAAAAGCCATTTGCGAACACATGGCTACTTGGTGAGTTTTATCCCAAACTAAGGTACTTTCAAATCTTATTTCCCAATTAAGAGTAGTTCTAATCTTATTTCTCAAATAGAGGTACTTTTGTCTTGTCATTCGCCATGTCAGCATAATGGTCATGTCACATATTCCACGTCATTCATTGGCTCTTCGACATAATCAAAACTAAGGGTGTTAAAAATAGTTTTAAAAATTGGGTCAAGAAGCTAGGAATTGAACCCGCGACCGCATGCACACATTGTAGCCTCTCCCTGACTCCACCACACATCATCAAAGTCTTTATTTTATAGCTACATCTAAAAGCATGCTCTTTGATTGCAAACTCTTACTCACCAAATTAACATGATATATCATTTCATACCAAATGATTATTACCACTAAAAAGTCAAGATTACCAAGTTCGTGCAATGCTAACTGATGGTACCATGGATTCAGACCATGGCCCAATTACATAGTCCAGCCCATAAACGGGATCAGCCCTTAACGGGATCAGCCTAAATTACAGGATTAGCCCATAAACGGGATCAGCCCTTAACGGGATCAACCTAATTACAGGACCAGCCCATAAACGAGATTCATAATTAAAAGCCGCTTAGCCCAGTAGGAATTAGGCCCACGATAGGAACCCACAACCAGGCCGGACTGGACAGCAGACCTTGAAGCCTGGGCGGAGTTCTAGTGAGGCCGGGATATTCCTAGGGCTTACGTGGCGAGCTATCACCCGTTGATAGATATTTGGCAACAGGCAGAACTCATCCGGAGGATGGCGACTAAAAGGAGAAAGTAACCGTATGGGAATCAAGCATCGAAGAGTTCTATTTTGAGCAAGAATATAGTTCATTAATTGAGCATTTATTGTATTAGATTCCTCCCATAATTCTACTTCCTAATCTCTATAAATACTTGATGTAAACACCCTACCAAGGGATGGGATCCCCGATTGAGTTCTAAACTGAGGCTAGACAATTGATAGTTCTCCGGAATAAAGAGTAAAACTGTCTTACGTTGCCATTATACCTACGTATATTTAGCTCTCGTAGTTGGATTTAACTCCATCACTAACGACTTAACGTCACTACATTTTAGAATCACTGTCTTTTACAGCTACCTCAAGCAACGCTTCACGAATGTTCCCAGTTTGGAATCTTATAGCTTTCACACTTTCAATGCGACTCTACCAATAAATGGTCAATGATGATTTCAGAGTTAAACCCTTTACATTATCTTTCAAAACCCGCCATCTTTTGGTTGAACTCGCAAAAATTGTGTAAATGCGTTGAACAATTCCAAAGAAACTCTAGCTTTTCCACAAGTGTTAGCCACATCACATAACATCAAATTAAGAATATGACAACCACGTGGAGCATAAAAAAATCCTTAATTTATGTCTAACAATCTTTA